TGTGCACCCACACACACACACGCACACACACACACACACACACACACACATACACACATGCATAAATCTGCTTTTTAAAACTGATTCATGGCAGAGGCTGTGGTAGCCTCAACTACTTTGACATTTTCTTTTTACTATAGTCTCACAAACACAGTTAAAGCTTGTTAGACCTTGTCTTTAACTGTACATTTGAATATTCCTCTTTTTATAATCTTCAAACAGTAACTGGTCTTTTCATTGTCAATGAGACTGGTTTCAACATTTTCTGTGCATACTGTATTTGGGCCCCAAAAGGCCTGTTTGTGACTTTTTCTCCTCTTAAACTTATAATGCCTGAACTTTCCATAGATCTGTGTTGCTGTAGCCGTGAGTGAGAATCATCAAATGCGATGTATATGAAGCAGATTTGCATCCTGGAACTCGGTCAGCGTGTGTCTTATTGAAATACCTAATTTGAAACACATGCTCGTCACAGCTGGACAGGTTTTTCTCACAACACTTTAAAACATGCCTATTCAACATGCTCATTCCAAGCAATCAGAGCTCACTGCCAATTTCCCCGAAGTTTTCACAATATTCTCTTTCTAATCGATATTGTCCAGGTCTAGGTTTGCTTTTATTCTTCATTAGTTCTCTTTTATTCGTCCTACACACAGTCTTTTGGGTTACCTTTGAATATCCAAACCTTATTTGTGAACAAGATTATTTGTATTAAATGCTGTCAAAAGTCTTGTTGAGCCATTTGAACCAAATATCACAACATTTTAATTGAAAAATAAAAAAGGGTTTGTATTCAATAGCCCTGCTTTAAAATACCTCACCGCAATTCCTCATGAGCGTACATTTCAAACCTGTCTGTGAATGGTTCCGCTGTCCTTAGCCTTTGGTAAATTGGCTTTGCCAACATTGCCTTTCACCTCGCCTCGTGTTTGTGCACTTTGGAAAGGAGCGATTAATTGGAATTCAGAGTGGCCCCCAGATGCCTCCAGAGCCTAATCATTCTCACACTTTTGCACACTCTAGGCCCACTATGCATGCACACTCACACACATACATCATCTCACACAGATGTTTTTTCCTCCGACACACCCACTCCCCCTGCTCCAAGTCCTCTTTCTTCTTTTCACCCACATCACCTTTTCAGGCCAAACAAAACGGTTGTAAACACAGGGTGCCAGTGGGGGGAAAAGAATGCCTCAGAGGCTTACACAGGCTTTTGGAGCACCCTGACAGACACTTCGCCTTGTGTTTGACAGTTCCTCGGGTCCTGCCGCCTGGTCGCACTGTGGTGGTCCTCCTCACATAGCTACGGTCATAGCCCTTAAATGTTCTCATAAGAGGATGAGGGGGATGGGCAAAAGAGAAGTATAGATAAAAGAAGTACAGAGGAGAGTTGCTCAGGTCCTATATGATAGTCGGGGGAGGGTACTGCTGTCACAATACTTGAGTAGAGTTATTTAAATTTGTTGCCAAAAGTTTGTTGCCAACATGTCTTGTAAGAAAAATAGGATGACTTTCACTTTGTCCCATTTGTGAATAATGGGACAAAGTGAAGCCAGGTGACATCATGACCAATCCAGCTTTTTTATGTCCAATAGGAGGATCTTTGTTTACACCGGCGTGCGCATGCGCCCCTTGCTGAGTGGCAAAAATACAGAGCGGCACATGCTAAAGCATGGATGCAACGAGTACTTTTAAATGACTAAGTGGGCAAATAGCACTGTATACAAGCACTTTAACTCAAGAAGATCAGAGGAGATATAAAGACAAGCTAAAAACAAGTATATGAGACCGAACTGAACAAATTCAAAGCCCAGATGAGACCTGGGATGACGAGAAAAAACATTGCTCAGACTCACCTCTCTTTTGGCACCGATCTACTGGGACTGGGACTTGGAGACATTTATTCTTACTTCATAGAAAAACCGGGACCCTTCACTCAAGTGGGGGCCGTGGTTTTCAACGCGGTAAGGTAGCCCGGCATTTCGCCATTGCGGAAAAGTGGTCCGCACATTAAAAGCGGGTTGCTCCTTTTTGCTGTTACTTACGGTAAAGGTGGAACAGGATGCAGCGTGGATGAGCAACCAAAATGCAATGTTTAAAATTAATCATCATTCATGAATGAGTGAACAAGTGCGCAGTGAAAGTAGTTGCAAAACTTATATTTGTTTATGAATTTTTATCCCCTCATCCCCCCGGCTTCCCGTTCTACGTTTACCGTAGGTAACAGCATAAAAGGGCAACCATTTTACCGCAGCCGTTTTTCGCTGTTTTCCGAAAAACTCTCTATCCAGGTAGCTTTCTATGCTGTATTTCCACTCGTTCACGTGACCGCCGCGGGAAAAACTATAAACAACGACGACACTCCAATATCCTCCTATACCAATCTCTACTGCACCATGAACCCTCGGCCTGGGGGGAAAAACATAACGAAAATAGTTTCAAAAAATAAAACATACTAAAATGACATTCTGGGTTGATATCAGCCAATCGTTTTTACATGAAAAGCCTGATCAGGGTATAAGCTTATATAATTTATCCGATATCCAACCCCCAAAACCCAAATATTATTATCAAAACTGGCACAGATATCCAAAAGTATCATCATCAGTAAATCTCTATTTATGTTTTGAGTTCAGTATATAATTAGGTAAAGTTTATGTTGAATTGTTTTTTGTTTTTTTCCTTTGAAGACAAATGCAAAAGTGCAACAACATTCATTAATCGAGAGCAGTTGATATGTTTTAGTAAAAAAAAAAAAAAGGACAAAACTGGTAAACAAGGGAACATTTAAACACTGCAAAGGGTGACAACAATTAAGTCAAATATGGCTTGAATCAGACATGTATCTGAATTGGAGTCAATTTTGAAGGTCCCGTTTTTAAGAAGATTTCTGTTTTTCAAAGAGTCAAGAAATTCTCAAAAACTTGAAATGAGACTATATGGTTTTTGCAATATGGCCGGGTCAGATTGTTTGGAGGGCCTGATTTGACCCCAAAGCCCAAAGTTTAATGGACCTGGTGTAAATACTACAAAGCTATTTCTTTAAGTGTGTAAGAATGCATTATCCAAATGTTTGTGGCTTGTTTAGTCTGTGCCCTGCAGCTGTTAACACCTGTCTGTCATTGTGAGCACATTATACACTTTATCATTAGGCCAGTGTGTACACCAGAGCAGGCCGCGGTGCCAGCCATGCCAAACGTCTGCCCCTTGTTAATATGAATGTACATTTTAGAGGCATTTCCCCATACATTTGTGCCTTTTAAAAAAAAAAAATGTATGTAATGGTTTATTTAATATAGGCTTTTGTTTTGGCTTTTGCATTATTCATTTTGTTTTAGTATTTACCTAACATTTTCAGCGGATCAAAAACGTAATACACACACTTCAAAAACAGATGAAAAATAAGTTAGAAATTGCTAACATTTGGTAAAATGTATGTTCATTTGAGGCACATTTTGACTGCCTTAAAACAAGATTTTCCAATGAGACAGGCAAAATGATCTTGTTTTAAAAGGATTCAAGAAATGTCTCCCTTGAAATGAGAAAATAAAGAAACAGTTCTTGAAATAAGACTAAATATCCCATTGAATCTTGAGTCAGAATGTAATTAAAAACCACTTGATTCAAGCAATTATTATCTCATAATTCTTTTCTGTTTTTTTACACTGCATATTCAATTGATTATACACATGTATAATGTGTACTATACATTTGTTTAGATTTTTAGTTTTTTCAGTGTTGACACAGATGTGCATAAGCCATAACATCAACCCGCCATGTTCTCACGTTTAATCCTTGTGTTGTCCAAAAAACACAGAAGGAATTATACATTTGATGACAATATGATGAGGCCAGTCGGAAATATTGTTGCGCTATCACAGCTCTAGAATTTCCTTATCAGAGTGCTCTTGCTCCTTGTGCAAGTGCTGCCTACCCAGACAGACGCCGGCTTGTCCTGCATTCTTTCAGTGAACAGAACCCCCATATCTCCCTTTGTAAGCTTTGGTTTCTCCGTAGAGGAAATGACCCCGTGCTTAAGTTATGAAAGTGTTGTTACTCAGGCAGGAGTGGATTTAGGTTGAGATTTTTTTTAGGCATACATTAACTTCCTTATATGCAATAGGGGCTTGTTGTCAAACTTGTAATTGTTGGAAGAAATGTTTAATTTTCTACTGACAGAGTTAATGATTCTTTAGTGCAAGCTTTCTCTGACGTCCCTTTTCACATTTGAACACGTCCAATTGTGTCTGTATCACTGTCCCTGCCTGACAATCCTGTTTCTATTTGGACAGCTGTAGCTCTTGGACTCTTTCCCCAAGGCAAACAATGGCTGAATTAGGATGTGTTTCTTAAAATATAACATGAGATGCAAACAGAGGATTACAAACAGGCAAAGTGAAACACCACTCCCAGCTGTTGTTGCACCATCTCTGTGGCACAGGGTGATTCAGGCTTAGGCAGTGTGTTTATTCTCTGTTATAGCATAGACAATGTTCAAAATAATTGATTTTAGAGATGTATTATAATGTAATAGTTCTTCTGTATATCTGCCTCTAAATTGTCTTTCTATTTTTAATATGTAACCAAATGTCTGCCTTTTTAATGGTTTTGTGAAGAACTGGCACAAATTGATCGATTGGTTGATGTGCACTGCAGGGTCTGGTTAGTACTATGATGGGAGACCTCTGGGTACATCAGGTGCCACAGTGGGGCAGCTGTGGCTGTAAAGTGCCAAACTGCTGTTGTGTCCTTAGGCAAGACACTTCACCCCCATTGCCTAGAATGAGTCTGGTGTTTGTGTGAATGGTTGGTGATGATCGGAGGGGCCAATAGCACATACTGGTTGCCTCGCTTCTGTCAGTGTGCCCCAGGGCACCTGTGGAGTAGTAGTTTATCACCACCGTGTATGGAGTGAAAGAATAATGACACGTGAAGCGTCTTTGAGTGTCCTGAAAAGTGCTATATAAAACTGAGGCATTATTATTTTGTGCACACAGTACTGTCACCACGGCATGTGTATCAACAAGGAGTTGGACCTGCTCCCTGTCCACGGGGAGTGGGGTCCCTGGGGGCCATACAGTGTCTGCTCAAGGTCCTGTGGAGGTGGGACACGAAGTACCATGAGAGAATGCAACAAGCCTGAGTAAGAACCAATGCAAATGTTAAGTGTTAATGTATATTGAATATAAAGCTAATGTCACTTCACATATTTCAGGCCAAGAAACGGTGGTAAATTCTGTGTGGGGCGCAGGATGAAATTCCGCTCCTGCAACACTGAGCCGTGTCCACGAGGACGAAAAGACTTCCGCGAAGAGCAGTGTTCTCACTTTGACGGCAAGCACTTCAATATCAACGGTCTACCTCCTACTGTGCGCTGGGTGCCCAAGTACAGTGGCAGTAAGTATCTGGGGGATCGTGGTCAGTAGCTTAAAGGACGCTCAGTAAGATACAGTTGAAATCTCTTTCTCATTCAACTTTGAATGGACAATAAAATGTGTGAAAAAAATCAACGAGTAACACATTGTTCTGATGCACGTTTCCTTCATTACATTAAATAAGCTTTTGATTTATGCACATTAATCACAGCAGCTCAGAGCTGTTGGCAGGTTCTGCACTGGCTGCAATATCGCAGGAGTTTCTGTGATGATTTGCCCAGACCCCAATCTATGTAGCTCCACGTGCTGTACTCATTTACTTGATACTAGACAAGCAAACAGGCCAACCCCTGCAGCAAGTACTATGCAGTTTTTCCCAACAAAAGATTGCATTTGGCAAACTTTGCAAAATGTGTTTAGTATCCAACCGCAGCATTTGTGTTTATGAACTTTTGTACGTCAAATATATAGACAGCTGTTTTTTTAGACTCTGATTGCTTTCATGTGTTTATTTTGACTCAGTTTTAATGAAGGATCGGTGTAAGCTGTTCTGCCGTGTTGCTGGGACAATGGCGTATTACCAACTGAAAGACAGAGTTATCGATGGCACCCCTTGTGGACCAGAGACGTATGACATCTGTGTTCAAGGCCTCTGCAGGGTAAATACATCTATTTTGGTACACAAATAAAAGTGTCAAATAACGCCTTTAAAATGTTGGGGTCATACAGGCAATTACTGTATGTGTTTTACATTAAATCTCAGTCTTTCATTGGCAAACATTATTTTAATAGTTTTCCTTTTGACACAAAATACCAGTAGATCACTGTGGTTTTGAATGGGATCCATCCAAAATCACCTTATTATCTTCATGATTTAACACATTTGCAATGACTAGACTGTATTTCTAATTCCTTTAATGGTAACGGTCTTTCAGAAATAAGGAGATTCTTCACTGCAAAAAACATATATAATATAAGGGAGCATTGGCTTGAATCGAGTGGTTTTAACCTAATTTGAGTATACTCTGATCTTAAAATCTTAAAACAAGATTTCCCAATGGGATAAAGCCATTTAGTCCTTTTTCAAGAACTATTGCTTTATTTTCTCATTCAAAAGGGAGAAATTTCTTGTATCTTTGAAGATAATTTTCCCTGTCTCATTGGCAAATCTTGGTGAAATATGCTTAAATTAAGGATACATTTAGCAGAACTTGAGAAATGTTTACTTCTTTTTCATCACTTTTTGCAGTGTTGACCCCAAAACATTGAAACATGTTAATTGACTTGCTTTAAAAAAAAAAAAAGCTTAAGCTCAGAGATTAGTACTACAGTAAGTCTACTTGTAAAATTGCATGCTCAGTGCCCAAAATGCCAGTTAGATTGTCAGAATCTGATTTGTCCAAATTTACCAACACTGTTTTTGGCTCTTACATGTGTATACCTTTCTAAACCCTGTGTTTCTACTATGTTTCATCTGTAGCAAGCGGGCTGTGATCATGTGCTCAACTCCAAAGCCAGAAATGATAAGTGTGGGGTCTGTGGAGGAGACAACTCGTCCTGTAAAACCATGGCTGGGACTTTCAACGATGCCCAGTATGGTAAGTTACCTCAAACATCACTTTACTGCTTGTTCGGATTGCCAAAACAAAAAGTGAAAAATAAAATGTTAGAAATTGGTTATATTTGATAAGGTGTGGACAGGTGTTAGCTACTCACCACTGCTCTACTGTCTAAATTCTAAAATTTACTCTACACCAGGGGTCTATTTAATAACTACAGCCAATAATGGAGAACACACATGCATATTATACCATACAGTCTCCCTGCATTAATGAAAAAAAAAATAAAGTTTTAAATAGACAATTAATGACTCAAAAGTCAATCATTCATGTGTTAAATTCTCGAATCCTTTGGGAAGCGACCTGAAAGGGGGGGGGGGGGGGGGGGGGGGCAAGCTACCGGTAGCTCCTGAGCCACAGGTTTGAGACCACTGCCACACGTAGATGGCACCTAGACAATAAATCCATTGATCATGTACATTTTATAATTGGAGCTGATTTCATGTCTCTCTTGACTTTTAAGCAATTAATTCAATTCAGTTCAATGTATCCTTGTATAGCCCTAATTCACAACAGTAGTAATCTCGGAGGACTTAACAAACCCATTCCATTCGCCAACACAGATCAGAGAATCAAACAGTTTAAACTCAAGAAATGAAATGATAAAAAACGAATAGTGCCATTGGCCCATAAGAGGCAGATGACCAATTTCCATTTCCAAGTGTTGATAGGGTCCATAAATGCTGTTGAATGTTGAGTGTCCTGGATCATAATCGCTGTCCTTTTTTATTACTAATATCAGAAATAAACACATGTTAGAGACATTTTTTTAAAGACATTTTTCCGAACATTTGTTCAGCATCACCACAAAACTGACATCACCTCGTTCTGTTCCCTAATGGTCTTTTATCAGGGAGTGCCAAATACTGATGGATCTGGCCTGTATTAAATTCAGAAGCTTTAGCATAAAAAGACAGGTGTGTACTGATCCCCATTCATCTACAGTTTCTGTCACTCGTGTTTACTTCCAACCACTGGAAAAATTTATGAAACCAAAGCACGGACCCATAACTTCGATAAGATGGGTTTAATGCTGATGAAGACGACTTGGATGATGCCCTGCACTTCTGGGATCTTTCTTATCAGCTATTTTCCTGTCTTAGCTTTGCCAAATACAAAATGTGTGTGTGTGTGTGTTTTTGTGTTTTAAATTCAATGGGCAAGACATGATTATAGATAATGAATTAAATATGGTCACACAACTATCTGCGAATCTGGAGAAGCAATCAGTCCCTATGTCAAGTTTCTATGCTTTCTTTTGTTTGTTTGGTACTGTTTGCAAAGTCTTCTTAGTCTATCTAAGACTTGTCAGCTCTTTTCTGCTGTAGACTACTTAAAATGTAGTTTCTGCCCTTATTTTTGTGCTTGAATTTGGCATCAGGTTTACTTTGTTTTCCTACATTTAAGTCAACAAGATTTGTCTATGGGACCAGCAAAAATAACTTGCTTTTAAGACATGTCCTTGCATCCCCTTCACAAATCTAGTTTCAAACTGCTACACAAAAGTGAGAGACTTAGAACCTTAAAAGTGCCTTATGTAACTTTGTATGTGGGAGAAAAGTTTATATTTTAGCATATTATGTATTTTGTATCTTGTGGGGGTCACTGTGCCCTAACTTCATAACTTCTAATACTATCTAATATGAACTTTTTTCCACATAAAAGTGGCATCATTCCTCTTTAAATGACAACACATACTCATATTTATTAGACACCACTTTTACTATTCTTCCCTGTGCCATTGTGTGGTGGAGGAGGCTTGTGAGTTAGCGGCTAAGCTTCATTGATCTCACACTGCTCTGACGGCTTGTGGAAAGCATAAAATTAGCTTTATACACAGCTATATAGTTTGTGTTTTAGGAACTGGTTGGTCTTTGGTTTTTGAGAAATTACATTGTAACTAATTCAAAAATAAATTCATTAAAGACGTGAGAAAAATACAAAACTTAAAACAAAAATCCTACACGGTCAGCACTATACCACCACTTTCGAGCAGTACAGGTTTGCAACACAGCACCATCTCTTTTGCAAACAGGCTCGAATCATGGTTACCACTTCCTTTAGTACAGTCTCCTTTAGATGCTTGTCAGAGTTGTCTACATGTTTTTGCACTCTGCACTGAGAATTCTGTTTAGTATTCCATCCATGTGTACTTTTATCACTGTTTTTCCTTTTGTATGTTATGGCTTTGGCACGTTACACCTTGTCTTGAGACGACCGCTGTAGCTAATAATTGCACAAATTTAGAAGTTTTATTTTGTCATTACAATCGCAGCCATCATAGTTGAAGAGATAGTTACAGTCATTTCAATGTGGTTTTGCTGCAAACGGCCAATAAACTGAATCTGAATCTGAAATGCATTTAAATTACATGAATGCATATGTGCTGCTCTAAGATACAGACCACTTCTTTTGTTAACATAATGTTTTTTTATGTTTTGCTCACTCACATGACAAAACGATGCAGTAGCAAACCAAGTGCTGCCCCCGAGTGGCTCAAACAAGGTGACAATTTGATAAAGATTGTGTTCACAGTCAAAAGATAAATTCGATTATAGTACCAAGATGTTTTAGTCTCACCTTCTCCTCCTCATGTTCCTCTCACCATCGCTCTCCCTGTCAGTCTTCATCTAAAGCTTACTTGTTTTCTTTATGTTCGTTTATCATGGGACAACAGAGGCAGTGTAGTAATTACAGGCCAAAGGTAAGTTCAGGGGTAATTACATATCATTTGACAGTCGCCCCTCGGAGGCTAAAACACGGTTCTCAGTGGGATATTTGAGAACACTGAAGCTTTTTGCTGTTTGTTGTGCGCCAATACCCGGTGTCAGGATAGACTAGGACATGGCGAGTGCATTAGTTAGAATGGGGGCTCATCCGGATCACAACGAGAAGAAGCAATGGGAAATTTATAAAATAAGTAGCGTACAAGGCACTACTGTATATTACAAGTCCCTTATGAAGGAGAACTATGAGCTCTCTAATCCGTGACCTGGCTTCATACAAACATTATTTTTGTACTTTCAATTCTTTCTTCTTATGAAACAGACACAAAAGTGGAACCATGAAAATAAATACAATTGTGCCTCATTGGTTAACAAGGGCCCTGCCTATATTATAGTATAGTATATGTTTATGTATATGTATATGTTTCAGATGTGTGGGGTCTTATTTAAGGCACTTTGTTTCCAAAATGCAGCTTCACTAAAGAAAATATAAGTAACCCATTGAGATTATCTTAAGTTTTTAGTTTCAAAATCTTTGCCCAACTTATTATAGCAAATTGTTTCATTTTGAGGCTGTCAAAATAAGCTCAATGCAATATACATTTTGCCAAATTTGAGGATTTGTTGTCTTATTTTTCACCCATTTTTTCCAGTGCATATTTAGAATTATAATGGGGTAATGCATATTTCTGCAAATAACTTCACTGCGATCTCTCCAGGTTACAACTCAGTGGTGCGGATCCCAGCTGGTGCCACCGACATTGATATCAAACAAGTCAGCTACTCCGGAAAACCTGAGGATGACAACTACCTCGGTGAGTTCAGTTTGTCATTTCAAGGATGTGGTTTGAAGCAGCTAGTATCAGATTACATGTTTGCCAAAGACCAACCACCCATAGCTGGAAGCAGGAACAGCTCATAAGGCTGAGTGCATATCCTCAGCTTTTACCCTCATTTTGGGTCAATGTCATTATTCCCTAGAGTCTGAACCACCCAGGGCTGACCTCGACTTGGAGGGAAAAAAAAGTGTCTGAGATTTTTTTTGTTATAAATAAAATGAAATTTGTGGAAGGAAACCACAAGGGGCGTTGGTGCATATGGATATGGCATAGAGGTTTGGTTAGGAAAGCAAAGTGAGTGTCAACGTCTATGAAAGATAAATGAGTCAGAAAAAGGTGCTAATTAGACACATGTGGAGAGCAGGGGGCATGAAAGTGAATATGAGTTCTTGTGGTGAGACAAACGTACCATGTATTAGTGTGTCTGGGTGTCTTAGAATATGAGAAAACTGTCTACTGGAGCTTTCACCAGCGACTCAACAATAACCACATATGGTCTTACTCTTGTTCTCACCCTGGTCTCTGAAAAGGATTGAAAGCTATAATCTTGTTATTAAGTTTAAAACATATAATCTTGAAGACAACTGTAGAGCACCGATATCAATTGCACTGCAAAAAGTGGCTCAAAAAACCCCAAGAAAAATAGCTACTATTAGAAGAAATGTACTTGTTTCAAGCAAGTACACTATAAATACAGCATTTTCATACTTGCTTCATATTATGCTAAAGGCCGGGGTTTTTGTACTTAGTTCTTGCCTCTACATCATGCTAAAGTTGGAGATTTTAAGACTTATTTCCTTATCATGCTAATGATAGATATGCTAAAGGTGATACTGCTTCTTTTTTTGCTACAGATTTTATTTGAATTTAGTATAGAGGAATTACTCATTTATCTTGTGCTGTGTGCTCCTCATTCCTACTGTTCTGTAGCTTATGATGCAACACTGACATTTCCCCACTGTGGGACAAATAAAGGATCTCTTAATCTTAATTATCTACCAGTGGATCATGCTTCTTCCACTTAAAATTTCTTGAAACAAATAATATTATCTTCAGTATCTTCAGCCTGCTTGAGTAAAAAAAAGTAAAAAACGATGTGATTAGATAAATGCACTGAAATCAAGTGAACTACACTATAGTCTATATTTTAACTTTTTGCAGCGTATACAATATCTGAGCCAATAAAGGCAACTTTTTCTGACTTGGGTATCAACTCCAAATATGGCCTCAGCCGTTTACAAGTCTTTGTTTATTTGTTTGTAAGTTTGTAATTTGATCCGTACAGTTAACAAACAGACATGACATGAATATAAACATAGCTGGAGCATCCAAATGTTAGTTTCCATCTGGGCTACATTACAAAACGGACAACAACCTTTCACCCAAAACCACAAATTCACATTGTTGCATATATAGGCCATTTGCACTCAGTCTATTTGACCACACACACTGCAAAAAATGATCAAATATGAGATCATAATTGCTAGAATCGAGTTTTTTTTAACTTGACTTAAGTTCATTCTGACTGTCTTAAAATGAGATTTGCCAATGAGACAAGCAATTTTGACTTGATTCAAGAACTATTGCTTTATTTTCTCATTCCAAGAGAAAAATATCTTGTATCTTTTTAAAACAAGACAATTTTTCTTGTTACACTGGCAAATCTTGTTTTAAGGCCGTCAAAATGTGCTCATATTTGGATACATTTAGCCAAATTTAAGCATTTTTTTGTCTTTAATTCTGTCATCTTTTGCAGTGCACTCACTATTCATATTATTGCACAGTCCATACTATAACCTATTATTGCACAAACTTAATACTGCACAGTCCATATTAATCCTTTTTTTTTTGCACAAACCTATTATTGCACAGTCTCTACATTGTCACACGTTCTTCCAGCTATTGCACAAATGCGATGGTTATTATGAATTGAGCTTTGTGTGGATTATCAAGGGAGTAAAGAGATAAACTTCTGACCGTTCCAATGTGCACATCCTTTATATGACAACATTTTTGAATATGATACCTTTTTAAAGCTCAATTTACTTATGCAACCTATTATTGCATTCTCTGTTTGGCAAATTGACAGCTTTGCAAAGTCCTTTGAGATAACTACTGTTGTGATTTAGCGCTATACAAAAATTATTTGAATTGAAATAAATTGAATTAGGATATTGCAAGGATTTTGTCCCAATATTTAATGCTCTCAAAATGTGATGACCACGTTTTGACGGCCTTAAAACAAGATTTGCCAATGGAACATGAAAATAGTTCTTGTTTTAAAAAGAAGAAAACAATTATCTCCCTTGAAAGAATGAGAAACAGTTCTTGAAATCAGACTAAATGGCTTTGTCCCACTGGCAAATCTTGTTTAAAGACAGTCAGAATGTATTCTATTTACATAATTAACATGCAAACCACTTGACTTCACATCAGCCAAAGATGTTGTTGCATAATCTGTTAAGTGCTAGTTCATTTCAACTGCTCGTTTCTACTTGAATCCTGTGCACTTCTATTCTTATTTGAGTGCAGTTTGGATTCATGATGTAGTTTATTTAACGACTGGTGAGGTATGTCTTTAGTCAAGCAAGAATTTATTTTCTTTGATCGACTGCTGGGAGATTTCCCTGGCATTGGCAAGACAACAACAAAGCATTTCTGACTCAACATTACAAATATGGCTGTAATTGAAAAAAATACTTTCTACGCTGTGCTCGCATAAACACACTGTCAGTCACATCTCAGACACACCTCAGGGCCAGTGTGACTCCAGAGCAGATCTGAATGTAAACACCCCCAGAAAGCTGATCACATGCATTGTTTTGGTATGCTCTTAAAGAATATAATCAAGAACATATTTCTTTGAAGCGTCTGTTTTAAGGCAATGCAAATATGGTTGTAGATTAAGGACTGTATCTGGAAGTGTATGTACTTGTTTGCATTTATATTAGCAAATGTCTTTATCTAACTTTTTGTTGTTCCATAAATACAGTACTTGCTGGACTATTAAGCGCACATGTAGTGTATATACAGTGCCTTGCGAAAGTATTCGGCCCCCTTGAACCTTTCAACATTTCGCCACATTTCAGGCTTCAAACATAAAGATATAACATTTTAATTTTTTGTCATGAATCAACAACAAGTGGGACACAATCTTGAAGTGGAACAAAATTTATTGGATAATTTAAACTTTTTTAACAAATAAAAAATTGAAAAGTGGGGCGTGCAATATTATTCGGCCCCTTTACTTTCAGTGCAGCAAACTCACTCCAGAAGTTCAGTGAGGATCTTTGAATGATCCAATGTTGTCCTAAATGACTGATGATGATAAATAGAATGCACCTGTGTGTAATCAAGTCTCCGTATAAATGCACCTGCTCTTTGATAGTCTCAGGGTTCTGTTTAAAGCGCAGAGAGAACCATGAAGACAAAGGAACACACCAGGCAGGTCCGAGATACTGTTGTGGAGAAGTTTAAAGCCGGATTTGGATACAAAAAGATTTCCCAAGCTTTAAACATCTCAAGGAGCACTGTGCAAGCAATTATATTGAAATGGAAGGAGTATCAGACCACTGCAAATCTACCAAAACCCGGCCGTCCCTCCAAACTTTCATCTCAAACAAGGAGAAGACTGATCAGAGATGCAACCAAGAGGCCCATGATCACTCTGGATGAACTGCAGATAACTACAGCTAAGGTGGGAGAGTCTGTCCATAGGACAACAATCAGTCGTGCACTGCACAATCTGGCCTTTATGGAAGAGTGGCAAGAAGAAAGCCATTTCTCAAAGATATCCATAAAAAGTCTCGTTTAAAGTTTGCCAAAAGCCACCTGGGAGACACACCAAACATGTGGAAGAAGGGGCTCTGGTCAGATGAAACCATAATCGAACTTTTTGGCCACAATGCAAAACGATATGTTTGGCGTAAAAGCAACACAGCTCATCACCCTGAACACACCATCCCACTGTCAAACATGGTGGTGGCAGCATCATGGTTTGGGCCTGCTTTTCTTCAGCAGGGACAGGGAAGATGGCTAAAATTGATGGGAAGATGGATGGAGCCAAATACAGGACCATTCTGGAAGAAAACCTGTTGGAGTCTGCAAAAGACCTGAGACTGGGACGGAGATTTATCTTCTAACAGGACAATGATCCAAAACATAAAGCCAAATCTACAATGGAATGGTTCACAAATAGACGTATCCAGGTGTTAGAATGGCCAAGTCAAAGTCCAGACCTAAATCCAATCAAGAATCTGTGGAAAGAGCTGAAGACTGCTGTTCACAAACGCTCTCCTAAGATTACTTAGGCCACTGGCTATACAAGTCAAAGGCTGAAAGAACTTGAAAAAAGTAGCAGTTTCTAGTCCGGCAATACAATACATTTTGTTCGTCCCAACTCCCAAAAGAGTCAAATTTTGTGAACAATTTGGCCCACAACATTTGTCTTTATCTTACATACAGTATATATTGCTATCTAGAATACTAGAAAAAGCCCTATGATTCGCTATATTACTCTTTGGGCTGAAAGCTGGCTAAGTGATGGTAGTCCTTTCTCTTTCCTTTTTCTGTCTGAAAAAAGCTGACCTAAAGATGGTGACGATGTGACGATGAAACTAATGATAGAACCGAACTGTTTTGAGATCCAGGAACAAGTTAGACAGATTTTAGTTCATAGCTCCTTTTTGCAGATTCAATTTTGGATACCTTATCTTCAGGTTTCCAGAAATCTCACTTCCACTTTTTGCTAACTGCCAATGTTTATTTCATAGGGATGTAGTCAGTATTTATGAACAATAAATCTGACGTTTTGTTTGTTTTATTTGTGATTGCAGCTTTATCTGACAGCAAATCCAACTTTCTTCTGAACGGAAACTTTGTTGTGGCCATGTTCAAAAGGGAAATCACCTTCAAGGGAACTGTTATTGAATACAGCGGATCAGACACCAAAGTCGAACGTATCAACTGCACAGACCGCATAGAAGAGGAGCTCATCTTGCAGGTAGCCAACAATCACCTAAATCCTGACAACATAGACCAAACAGGTACACATGGACAAAATAGGTGAGTCATTTTTACCCCCTGACCTTGTTTTTCCTTTTCCCAGGTTCTGTGTGTGGGTAACCTTTACAACCCGGACGTGCGCTACTCCTTCAATATTCCCATAGAGCAGCACATGGAGCAGTTCTTATGGGATCCTTCAGGCTCCTGGCTTGAGTGCAACCGCGTCTGCCAAGGTATGGACCAGCTTCTTATCATAACAGTAAATCACCCGTGTAAATCTTTGCCTAGAGGTGCAGTTCCATTATTTTGTACAAAATCCTGCATCCAGACAATATTTTTGTATAACCCTAAATCTCAACAGCGTGCGTCTCGGAGGACTTTACAAAGTTGTCGATTTGGCAACAACTGATAAGAGATTTAAACAGTTTGAACACAGGAAATGCAATGATTAAAAGCACATAGGAGCCATTGGGAGCCATTGGGAGCCATTGGGAGCCATTGGGAGCGGGATGACCAATGTCCATAAATGCCCTTAAATGTCCTGGAACGTAGACCCTCCTGGATCAGCAAGGAACAACTCGAGAACCCAGTTGGCTATAGATCCAGAACGTAGAACAAAGCCCGAGGCAATGGACTGGTGTTCACTAGATCTCCACCCAAATGTAATCCGTTTTTTGCTGGGCCACACATCTGAACTTTTTTCTGGGCTTGAAAATAAATCATTTCATACTTTTTGAGTTATGTTGCTCACAGACAAACAAACAAATTGACACTGATGCTTCAGACCACCACCAATCATTCACGCACGCACCAGACTCATACAAGGCAATATGGTTGAAGAACCCTAACTCTAAATACAACAACAACAACAGTTTAGAACTTTATAGCCTCAGGTACATAGTGTTCCCAGACGTCTCCCATCACCTTATTGAGGGAAAATAGAACTATTTGAGCGGAATGACTTTTTGATGGGAATAAGTGCAGAGTTTTATTAAATGGTCCAAGCGTGAACCATTGGGGTGGATGCATCTTGCTTTGGAGTGGTGTTGAAGCCAGTACTCAGGGAACATTTCATGGGGAGAAGAAAAATGGATTTGATTAATTAATTTCCAACAAGTGAGTGAAAGCAGAAGATGAAAGAGGATGCCAAATATATCCAACAATGGATTACACTAAAAGGTGCAAGATGGAGATGTTGTAATGGCTTCATTGTCTCCAGTTCTGACCCATATTATTTAACACACCTCACGATTTATGCAGCTTTATTTAACCTCTTATTCAATAGTATGTGCAGTTTTTACAGTGTCCATATAATTATTGTCATCTCTGTAATGTCTATTATGCCACTTGTCAAATTATTGTGCAGAACTTTATTTGTCACTCCCAAACAAACAAATTGGTCTTGAACACTACAACACACAGTACATCGCTCTAATTCACATACAATAATAAAAACATACCAATAAAATTTCTTTACTAGAACTTAGTCAAGTCAATCCCTCCTGCTACAGCTGGTCAAGCCCTGTGGGTCAAAGTGCAGTGTGTGAGCTTGTAAATGGACCACCAAAACGCTCAGCGGTGATAGACTAGCTGCAGTAATACAGGTTAAAGGGAGTCTCATTTTTCTCTGTGTGTTTTCTCCAAAGGTGAGAGGAGACGAAAGGCTGTGTGTGTGAGAAAGAGTGATCACCTGGAGGTATCGGACCAGCGGTGTGAGCTTTTACCACGACCGGTGGCTGTTACTGAGCCCTGCCACACTGACTGTGAACTCAGGTAGGAACAGAAACAAGTTTTATGGCATGGATTTAAATAGCAAATTGAAAAGACTGAAATTATCTAAACTCTTTGCACACAAAAAAGGGACTAAAGATAAGCGAAAATAAATGCTTGCATTTGGGAATACAGTATGTCTCTTGATTGTGTCTTATGTATTGTTGTTGGGCAGCAACATTGTTTTCCTTTTTTTGTAATACGAGCTGAAACTGTCTAATGTGTTGCACAACTTGGATCTGACGATAGGAATTTTGTGAAAAAAGATAACACAATTCAAGAATTGTGTTAGGTACCTTAATCGCTTCACATGTACTCTTTTTAAGGTTGTTAATCTTTCAAGTTACTCTTACTCTGAACAAAAAATGACTTTTTAAACATACAGGATATCAAATATTCAAGATTCAAGTTTTTATTTGCCAATTGCAGTAAAACCACATTGGAAAAACTGTGCAAGACTACCCCAGTGTGCACCAGACAAAGATGATAGTACACACCAGCGCTCCTGCCACACACATCACAATTGCAATGCTGATCAGAAGTGTTGCTATGGGATCAGATTTACTTTGTTCATGTCTAAACGGGAGCATATGGTGAATATGGTGAATATAGCGAGCGGCCACTGTATGTGAAACAGTGAATGGGGAGTCTTTTTTTATCCATTCTAGCCTTTCTCACTGCATGCTCAAAATGTTTGTTTTCATTCATTTCAGGTGGCATGTAGCTGGCAAAAGTGAATGCTCGGCTAAATGTGGCTCAGGCTACCGCACGCTGGATGTGCAGTGCGTGAAGTACAGCTTGATGAAGAGACAGACTCAGAGAGCGGAGGCCAGTGCGTGTGCAGAAGTGTCCAAACCTCAGACCAGAGAGTCGTGCCACGGTGACTGCCTCCTCAAGAGATGGCAGTACAGTGCCTGGTCACAGGTATTATCATTTGGCTGTTGCTCAAAACAAAATCATGTTTGTGGCATTTGTAACTAACATCTTACAACTTACAGTGCTCTAAGACATGTGGCCGTGGGACTAGGAGCAGAGAATCTTATTGTATGAACAACCTGGGTCGCCGGCTTGTGGATAAGGACTGTAATGAGTACCAAAAAGTGGTCACTGAAATCTGTAATGATCAGCCATGCCCTAAATGGACGTTCAGCGAATGGAGTGAGGTAAGAACTATGCGCTTCATTGCTCATTGTATGTTATTTTATAGTGTAAGATTTTGCACAAGCCCTGAACAAACAGCTCACATAAACAGTGCTGGATACAGATGGTCTCCGGTTTTGTGGTTTACATGCAGATAGGTTGTGTAACTTTGGTATTTTAAAAGCAGCCACATCATCTCTAGAAGGAGGCGGGATCAAGTTTACTTCGTTGACACTGGACTGAGTAGGTTTACAAAGCATTGTGATAACCGGATCCCTCATCTAGTCCAATTTTATTTGATTTGATTGATCCGTATATAAATTGGTGTAACTGGTTCAAACTATTATGCTAACCATTAAGATATATGTTAATGGTTTCTATTGAGACCAACTTTAAGAGCACAAAGAGAAGCCATTCTTGTAGTAGAAATGTATGCATGTATTTGGACACTATAGGCTTCTCCACAACATGGTTAATTGCAAGTACCCTGTCCCTTGTCACATGTGTTTCATCTGGTTTTGTTATGTGACTAGAGCAGGAAATGTGGTGCATTTAATTGCCCTGTGGAAATGTAGTGACTTGTGCTGCTGCAGTTGAGTATGTGTGAAAATATGTGATAAAAACTGCCAAAAAAGGGCTTATAAAATATGACCAAAGAACAGTTCCAAAGTTGACTGCTAAAGTTTACGATACGCGTTTGAAAGCATCACACGGCTCCTGCTCCTCAGCGCGGCACATGGAGATATGACCTTAAAGTGGTTTGACCAAATTCTAAACAAATGTATTGATATTGTTAAAGATATTTTTCACTTCATGTTATTCATGTTATTTGTTTTGTATATCAAAGGCAAAAAAAATATTAAAAATAGGTAATTACATTGAACTGATGTAATGAGTCATTTGGATTTAGTCCTTGAGTGGTAGCATTCATTGCATTCTTTTTTTGTTCTAGTGTTTGGTGACTTGTGGCAAAGGCACCAGACACCGCCAAGTCTCCTGCATGTTGCCGACAGGAGGAGAAAAGCTAAGTGACCACCTCTGTGACCAGTCCAGCAAGCCTCCATCTGTGGGGACCTGTGAGCTGCCGGAGTGTGCGTCTTGGCAGGTCGGCGTCTGGGGAGCGGTGAGTTTCACAATTTACACCTTACTTACGCTATTATTCCTCTGACACTCCAAGGTTTGGCTGAAGGCGCCTTGAAGCAGAGTTTGACAGAGGAAATGAGTTTCATGTGTTTTGACTCAAGTCTGTTGGAGGGCGTGTGGCAGGAGAGATAGTCCATTTTACATGTGTGTATATTTGTAACTCAATATAGTAGCTTGTAAGGCAGGAGTGTGCTCCGGCTCCAGCTGCTATTTCCTCCTCTGTGCTTTCACTTTGGCCTCATATCCTGTCAGACTAAACCTGAGACATTGCTCAAACACATAGCTTCCTATAGTTTCCAAGTGTGCAGTTTGACGGTGTCAGCCTATCCGGGTCTCCGTGACTTAAACAGTTATGAATGGGTGTTCTTTCATTCACTTCATGCTCATGGGGTCAATGCCCTCCCACATGTGTTTGCATTGAGACACACATTTTTATTCTCAAAGCTGTTATAGATGTTGGCTCTTGTTATTGCCTGTGTCATTTTAAATTCCTGTTAAACTGTCACGGGGTGGGAAGGAGGAGGACTCAAAATGCAGGAATGCCAAAATAATGGTTTAACGAAATAAAGTCCAAAGTGAAAATAAAACTCAAAATCCAAAATACAGAACAAGGAACACGAAATCAGAAACAGGACGGAACAGAAGTTGACAATACAATGGACCAGCAACAAGAGGAGAGGAGCAAAGGGTACAGACAGAGACACAGGTGAAACACATTAGGGCGGGGCAGACAATCAAGACTGGGGAAACAGGGCGTCAAAGTCAAACTAAAACCAAAGCACAGAGAACAGATATCAAAATAAAACTAAAGTCCAAAATAACAAAATCCACACCATGACAAAAACACTTACTCATGCACACATTCTATCAAACAAAATAATGTAAATCCTAAAATGAAATTGTGCATTATAGTAATTTGGCAACAGTTCGAGCAGTGTTTCCAAAAAGTGGGTGTGCGGGCCCCTATTGGTACGAGAGGGTATTACAGCGGGGACCTGATATTATGTTAAAGTGTTATTTCACACTTTCAAACAATGATAATGAGAGGTTTTTATGGACTACCATGGAATGCTATACATAGTTCTAAAACCTTTTTCTCTCAAGACTATCATGAATTTATTATTTTTGTCCGTTTGATCAGTCTGCAATAACAAATCTTTCTTATTTTGTCTGTGTTATGTGTACGTCAATTTAAATAAAACCACACATTCAATTAGGTAAAATGACTTGGTAATTAGGTAAAAACAATTTTCCAGGAAAATGATGGAGACCCCAAACCAAAATGAGTTTGACCCCTTGAAGATTGTCCCTCCTTAGCAACAGGGGTATGCCCTAGTTACGCTACACATGGTAAAGCGTTTTGGAACCACTGCTGTTTTGAGAATTGTTGTAAATGTTCTTTCTTTGTAGTGTGCAGTGACTTGTGGTCACGGGTATCAGATGAGAGCCGTCCGATGTGTGTCTGGAAACTATGGCGACACAGTGGATGACCGGGAGTGCAATGCGGCGGCCAGACCCAGAGACAGTCAGGTACAACTACTAACAACTACTACAGCTTTATTCCATAAACACTTGACAATGATGACTGTTTCCTTGTGCATTTGGTGTCATCTGCTGATTTTTTTTTCAAGCTAACACTTTCAAGAGAAGTCCGCAGATTTGAAAAAACGTTTAAGCACTAAAAAGGCATTCATGATTTATCACAATAATAAATCTTTCTACCCAAGATGATCTTCTCTTGTCCCTGTTAGGAAATGAGATTATACCATAAAACTTCGAGTTGCAGTTTCCCATTTGACTCTTCTGTCTCTCCCATTTGACAGACAGGGGCCCTAAAGCCTGGGTGAACTACTGAACTTGCCTTATGTTTCCCAGATGTGGAGATCATGATGAACTATGATGAACTGTTTTTATTATAGATATGCTTTTATAATGATCACATTTTGATAAATACAATAACCTTGTCATTGCATGTAGGATTGCGAGATGCCAGCGTGTCCATGGGTCCCCGCACTTCAGAGCACCCCACGTCCAGAGAACTCGGTCACTCTGTCGACCCAGTGGAGATATGGCTCCTGGACAGCTGTAAGAACACCTGGTTAATTTTGCTCAGTTAATTTAATGTATACAAATTAAAGCAATGTATAATGTGCCTTAGTTGCCATGCCATTTATAGTGAGTAAGTCATTTTCAGGTAATGGCCACACGTCACACAAAGCGCATCACACTGTTTTTAGGTATCAATATTTGTACTTTTTATATATACCACACACAGCACACAGGTGGCTGAGGGGATTGCACTCTCGCTTCTCAGCAAGACCGTCCTGGGATGGTGTTGGTTGGGGTTGATGCGCCAGTGTGTTCGGCGTCTCGCTTTAGTCATCACTGTGTGGAGAGAATGGAACTCTGAACATTGTATAGCGCTTTGGGTGACCTTGGTTTGTAAAAATGCACTATATAAATAAGGAGGACTAACTTACTTACTCACACACAGAATGGCCCTGTCTGGAGGTGAAATAGAACCCAGGAACTCTTTGCTGTGAAGCCCAAGTGCTAACCACTGTGCCACTGTGATGTCCAGTTATGCTTGTGTAATTGTGTAATGAAGAAAAAACTATCTTTTGTTGGCACTCCTCTAAACTGAACATACATTTTAGCAACCAATCCGTTTAGTAATCGATAGCTGTGTTCACCAGTATAAAGTTGGCATAAGATTATTATATTGTTTATATCTCAGCATTCTTCTTTTTTTTTTACCAAGCCTTGATCCCGTTTGCCATTGTCTATTCTTCCCCCTATTGCATTTGAACATTTACTATACCCACACACAAGGGCCATGCTGTCTGCTACTCTGAGGCCCTTCTGTCTCCCTGATACTTTTGCATTGTTACTCATGGCAAATGAAAACCAGATTTCATCTAAACACACGGCTACGGTTTCGAAGAGCGAATCCCTGTCTGTCAATCTGAAAGTCGGTGTGTGTGTCAGAGAGGCCAGCGTCAGTGTGGTCCAAAGGCTCACATGCTCAATACTGCCATCCTGTTTTTGTGAAATCATGACATTTCGAGTGTCATTGATACCACCAGGATATTAGCACTCCATTTTGTCTGGAGCCATTTGATTGCATTAGATATTCATCCACACACACACACATTCTCTGAAAGTGTATAGGTGAAAGTTGATCAGGAAGTCATATGGGGACAGCACTGGCAGGACAAAATGCCATGCCCAGGTTTGAAATTATAATAGCAACTGCAATTATTAAGAGAAACACCAGCACGGATCTTATATTACAAACAGGCAAGGTAAACATTAGGCAGTGATGAAGGTTGGCTTAGAGAAAATTGCGTCCAGATCGCATCCAATCAGTCTATGTGACAAGAGTTGACCATCAGAGAATGTAATGTCATGGTGTGTGGTGAAAAAAGATACATTTATTTATTACTTATTGTATATATTACCCAGGCCTGGACTCAAAGATTTGTTAGCTCATGGATACTTGTTTGTTTACCATTGTGGGATAAAAATTGGTCTATTTTGGTCGAATAGACATGATATATTTTCCAGTTGCAAAAATGCTTAAATCCTGTCGTTGTTGTTCCCAGTGCTCCGTCTCGTGTGGCAAAGGCAAGCGCGCCCGCTACGTCAGTTGCCGTGACGCTCAGGGAGGTGTGGCCGACGAATCGAACTGTGCTCACCTGCCCCGCCCCCCGGAGAGCTCCTCGTGCTTTAGCCCCTGTGGTCAGTGGCGTGCTGGGGAGTGGTCCACTGTAAGTAACAACTACAACACTTTGTCCAAAATACTGTGTGTGTTTGTGTGTGTGTGCGTGTGTAGTGGGCTATAGATATATTATAGGATTAAGGAATAATGCATAATTTGGGTGACACAGAGACTAAGTTGTTAAGAGATCTCTCTTCTGGGTTCGACTTCCGTACGGCACGGGACCATTGCATGTTCTCTAGGTTTCCTCCAGGTGCTCCGGTGTCCCCTACCACTAAAAGCATGTACAATCGGCTTCTCTTCTATGGGGTTTCTACCTCCCAGTAAAAAAGGTTAGATAAAGATCAATAAATATAATTTATGGATCCACATGTTCAATAATTTTCATTATGGATGAAAGTGTGGAATGTCTCTGATTACTTGCGGGTGTCCAAGCTGGGAAGAGTGCATGTGGAAACTGTGATTAATACACCAATGTGTTAGACAGAGCAGGTCTGACATTGTAATGATGTAAATATATAAACACACAAAAAGTCTTTCTTCAATCACCTTCTTTTTAACGATCAGGGTCAAATGTAAACATGTCAATCCAAACGCAGCACTGCATCCAATTATTAAAATGTATCTAAAAACATGATATAATTTCCATGTCTGATGTATTTTAGCCATGTGTTCCAATTCCTCTCAAGTGTTCAGTCCATCAGTGTTTTGCTTTCACCATACGAAACATACTAACAACATTGGCCATACCTACATGCAAAAGCCAGATCCCGACAGACCTTTTGAGCTATACAGGGCAGGGCCTGTTTAGTACTGTGATGGGAGAGCTCTGGGGACACCGAATGCCACAATGGGGCAGCTGAAATGTGCCTTAGGCAAGACACTTCACCCACATTGCTGATACATACTGGTTGGCTTGTCAGTGTACACCAGGGCAGCTGTGGCTACAGTAGTAGTTTATCACCCCCGAGTTTGGATTGAATGAATAATCACATGTGAAGTATGTAGTTTTGCTCTGTAAATGCTGAGAAACGTTTGCGTTGCCTGTCTTTGTGTGTAGTGCTCGGTGACCTGTGGCACTGGTCAAACCAGCAGACAGGTGCTGTGCTCAAACTACCATCGTCCAGTGGAGGAGTCTTTCTGTGATCCGGAGGAAAAGCCCACCTCAGAACAGGACTGTACTTCTGCTCCCTGTCCCACGGTTTACCAGCGCCAGCGCATCGACCAGCCCTACGGATACCCCCTGGACCCAGCAGGGCGCCACCCTGGTCACAACAGCTGGAACGTGCCCTCAGCAGACAACCAATGGAGGACAGGACCGTGGGGGGCAGTAAGTGTTTTACATGTCTCTAATGATTCCAAGAAATAAAAAATGTGATTTATTTACTATATAGTGTTTTTACATATAGTTACATACCAGGAACAGCACCAATCATTAGACAGGACAAGGAATGTGTACTTCCTGTTTACTGCAGTAACCAGTATTTACACCAGTATAAATATGAATCCACCCTAGAAAATGACATAATATTTTTAGGATTTCAACCTAGACATAAACATTTTTGCAATAAGAATAGGGCTGTAAGAAGTTACTTATTTATTAATCAATTCATTTTTTTTAAATCTTCCATAGACACAAACCTGATGAGAAGAGGTTTATGAATCAGATAATTCTATAATGACTGCAGAATTAAAATAAAATATGTTTACAAAATATGGTAAACCAATCATATAAATGTGTTTACTAAATATTATACGCAACTAATCAATTATTTTAAAAAAACAACATTTAATTACGTAACATCTGTTTAAGAAGGAAGTCTGGACAAACAGTAGTATGAGGCAGTAATCTGTAACATGGCAATAATGAATAAATCTATTTGTCATTGAAGTATAGTAACAGGCGTCCCTAATGAGCTTTTGGAGTCTTCCCCTGAGGTTATCCAATCCAATCCAATCCAATCCAACTTTATTTATAAAGCACTTTAAAAACAACAGCGTCGACCAAAGTGCTGAACACAACAATGAGGATTACATTAATAAAACAGTAAAAACAAAAGTACAAAACATTCCAAAGTCGAACTTCTCAGGTTGTGTTAAAAGCCAAGGAAAAAAGGTGTGTTTTAAGAGAGGATTTAAAAGGAACAAGAGACTCTGTCTGTCTGAGGTGCAGGGGCAGTGCGTTCCACAGTTTAGGACCAGCAACAGCGAAAGAACGGTCGCCTCTGGTTTTTCTTTTTGTTTTGGGAACAACCAGCAAAGACAGATCTGCTGACCTCAGGGAGCGTGCAGGGGTATAGGGCTGCAACAGGTCAGACAGATACTGAGGAGCAAGACCATGAAGACATTTAAAAACAAATAAAATTATCTTAAACTCAACACGATATGAAATAGGGAGCCAGTGCAGTGACCTCAAAACAGGTGTAATGTGCTCTCGCCTTTTGGTGCCAGTTAAAAGGCGAGCAGCAGCATTTTGTACAAGTTGAAGTCGAGCGAGAGACGACTGATTGAGTCCAAAATAAAGTGCATTACAATAGTCTAAACGATTTGTGATAAAAGCATGAATTAAGATCTCAAATAAATGCTGAGGAACAAATGGTTTTGCTTTGGACAGTTGCCTGAGCTGATAAAAGCTGGACTTTACAACAGATCTGATCTGAACGTCAAGCTTCAGAGCACTGTCCAGCTTCACACCGAGGTTTGTCACAGTTGGTTTTAACCCTGTATGCCCGCGTGCATCGGCACCGATGCACGCGCACATGTTTTACAAATGATCAATTTACTCGCGAACCGTAAAACGTAGCAACTTACTTTTTTTCCTCTGTGAAGTACGTATTCAGGGCTTTCCGAAACTAGTTTTGATTTGTCTGTGCGATGCACGTAGGATAAACTACGTTTGTCTGAAAGTCCGTGTCCAAAGCGTGACCCGTGAGGTACAAACAGCTGTGAGATACAAACACACGGGGACTGCCAAAGATCGTCAGAGAGTGAGATCTCTCACTCCTCTGTCTGTACTTGTTGTCCCACAGTTGAAACTACAGCTGCGATTGCAATACTGTAACCGGCTGAAGAGTGCGCATTATTGATAAAGACGATAATAAATACAGTAAAATTACATTATGTGTATATGATGTATATAAATATATGTATTATATAAATAATTGATGTTTTTTTTTTTTTTGGCTCAGTTTCTTATGTTTTACGTTTTTTACAGCTGTGCTACAGAAGCAACCCCAGCATTATAGACAAACTGCTTCAGGAAGGGCATCAGGAGTACAGAGTTTTTTGCTTTTATAGTGGAATTTTGTAAAAAGTATAATAGTTAGAGATTCAATTTTTTTCCCCATTATCCCCAAGACCATAAATAACATTTCTATGCAGTGTAAAAAGTTGTTTATAGCATTTCATTGTGTTTTTTCAATACATTTTTGTTAAATTGATTTTCCGTTTGATTTTTTTCTTTGTCTTTATGATTCCATCATTTTTATATAATTCATATGACAGCTTTACAATATGAATATTCTAAAACCCCAGGTTGTACTGAAAAAAACAAAGTATACTGCTTGACTCTGCATCAAAAGATGACTGTTTTATGAACAATTATACACAAAGAAAACCAGGCGAGGAAAGTTCCCCAAAATGAACCATGTGCATAGAGGGTTAAGTATTCTTCTAAAGGACCCAAATCCACAAAAGAGGAGGGGGCATCTTTTGGGCCGAGCAGCAAGACCTCAGTCTTTTTGTCATTTAAATGTAGAAAATTTAGTGACAGCCATTCATGAACTTCCTCAATACACTTCAAAAGTTGCTTTGTACAATATCCATTGCCATGTTCCAACGGTCAATAAATCTGGCTGTCATCAGCGTAGAGATGGAAAGCAACATTGTGCTTACGCAAGATGGACCCGAGTGGCAGGAGGTATAGTGAGAACAGAAGAGGGCCAAGTATAGAGCCCTGGGGCACACCATATTTTATGGGAGCAGTGGCGGACTCTACATCTCCGATTCGAACACAAAAACTCCTGTGCGTAAGGTAGGACCTAAACCACTTAAGGGCACTACCACGAATTCCCACCCAGCTCTCCAAGCGAGACAGAAGTATCTGATGATCTATTGTGTCGAAGGCTGCGGTTAGATCAAGCAGGACAAGTGCAACACAGTGGCCAGAGTCTGTGGCTAAAAACACATCATTAAGTACTCTTAGCAGGGCTGTCTCGGTGCTGTGACGATTCTTGAACCCTGACTGGAACGTCTCAAGAATGTTGGACTCCTCCAAAAATGTTTTTATTTGGCCGTAGACCACTTTCTCCAATACCTTGGAGAGAAAGGGGAGTTTTGAAATGGGCCTAAAATTTGTTAAAATGGATGAATCAAGGCCAGGCTTCTTAATCAGTGGTTGAAGAGCAGCATGTTTAAAACAAGTGGGGACTGTCCCAGTAGTTAAACTACCATTGATAATGTCAACAGCAAATGGCGCTATAGTGGGAAAAACTTCCTTAAGAAGTCTGGGTGGAAGTGCATCGAATGGTGAACCAGAGGGTTTCATTCGACCAACTAAGTCACTCAAGAAGGGCAGACTAACACGCGCAAAATTATTAAAGACAGCAGTACAAGAAAAAGGACTATTAGATGATTATTATTATTATTATTATTATTAGAGGACTATTGTTCTGATTAAATCCCAGTTGTCGAGGCGCTGTTAAATCTCATGTAATGAATGTGAGCAAAAGCAGAGCTGGTAAAACTCACTCTTCCTCCCTCACACCGGGGCACTGTGCGCTCACCCCTGCTGACAGTGGAGATGTGTCATGTTAATTGGTTGCAGAGTGTACCTACTGCTCTGTTCAAGGCTGTCATCCTCAGCCTATTGAGTCTGTCCTTCGTGCCTGATGTTTTCCATCTCACCAAGATAATGTTTAGCAGCCCAACCCAACTTTGCCTTGGTATGAGACATAAAACTTTTATAGAGCTGCAATTCAGTATTTTCTGTCTTTACTGCTGTGGTTTGGAAGTGGAGCAAATCTGTTTGTACATAAGCCAACTTTTGAAAAGGCTTTCTTCAGTTTAGAAAAGAATGAAATAAGGGTACATGTTTCTCAAATTATTTTTATTATTACAAGTAGCAAGCAAATTTAAAATGCTGTTGCCTTTTTCTTGTGTCACCAGTGCTCAAGTACATGTGAAGGAGGCTTTCAAAGGCGAGTGGTGGTGTGTCAGGATGCAGATGGAAGAAGCAACAGCTACTGTGATGAAAGGGTTAAACCTGCAGAGTCCAAAAGCTGTGACTCTGGGCCCTGCCCGCTGTGGAACTATGGCAGCTGGGGAGAGGTAAGGCTGACCTTCACTTGAGCAATGACCTGGAGCATAATAACACTAAGCTCACATGTTTTTCTCCCATCAGTGCACTCAAACTTGTGGAGGTGGGAGGAAAACGCGCCTGGTGGTGTGCCAAAGGCCCAATGGTCAAAGGCTGAATGAATACAACTGTGATGTGCTGGACAAGCCCCCAGATATGGAGGCGTGCAACTTGCAGCCCTGCCCAGGCTCCGCCTCCTGGCACCGCAGACCATGGAAGCCGGTACGATAGTACTACCTTACCTTTATACTGTTGTTCTCATAGATGCCTCTGTTGGCACCGGGTGTAAATGTGCTCAGACCAGCTCTGCCCATTTCTCTATGCCCACACTTGTAGCTAAAAGGGCTGAACACTGGGATTACTGTAAAACACCACTAGCAGGCCGTGGCTGGCCGATGTAGACTCCTGAGAAAGGTGCTCATCGAAAGAAAAGGCTGCTTCACAAACATGTACAACAACATGTCTCTTTTGGGCTGCAGCCTGTATTGGCTCTCAGGCATCCTATACATTTATGAACATTGTTGTAAACCACTGTGACATATCTGAAAAAACATAACTTTAGAAATATTTATTTCTTATGTTTAGCGAAGTAAAGGTTTTAATATTATTGCTGTCATCCACTTGTATCAGAAGTACACAATTGTACATTTGTGTATAAGAGATAATATTATGGTGTTATTGATCATTTTGTAACTTTTGTACAGTTATTTTTAAATCGGTAGTTTTCTATTATATTTTTTATTTTATTTTGGTTGGTGCTTTCTCAGTCAGACCACTCGGTGCTCTAACTCTGAAAACAATTTGTACAGACGAAAATATTTGTTATCACATATAGTTAATCTGTATTATAATGCAATTTAGATGAATATCCATCATTAATTCTCAAAGTGATGTCTTGGATCTGATGTGTAGCACTACAAGCCATAACATGTAAAGCATAATGCATTATCAACACGATCAACCTCATATCAGTGAAACTTGGCTTTCAGGTGCTATTTTACCATTACACTGGTGACAGTGAGGAGCCTTTCCAAACATATCTGTTTCTTTTATTGTCATAATTTCTTTTAAACCATCCTCCATCAGCTTATGGCCATAAACCAAGCACACAGATACCTCCGCCACTTTCATTCCTTTGGCAAGTTTGTGTATGTTTGAAGGATTTATTCAGAACATAACTAGTATTTATTTGTTTACAACTTCTTTCCATTTGCAGCTTTAATATTGTCAATCAAAAGTATTTTTTTTTTCATTATTATTATTGTTTCAGAATTATGAAACCAAAGTAATGGGCGTCATGTCCTCAGTAACCACTATAGCAGGCTGCAAACTACACCATTTTTGGCAGAGTTGCGAGTTTTCATTATAGGCTTTTATTCGTTGAACTTTCTGGTTTGTGATTCTGTCACAACTGTAAAAAAACACAAGCCAAGCTTTGTTTCTTATTATTTTTTCACATTTTAGGGTTTTTTGTTAATATTTACTATATCTGCATGTTACACAAGACGTTGCTTCAATAGAAAATACTTATTCTGAAGTCATTGCACATACTGCCTTTAACCAACCAATACTGGTTCATTATGGATCACCAATGACAGGACTGGGGGCGGGGGACTTTCTGGCCCCACTGCTACTGCCAGAGGACAAAAATAAAAATATATATATTCTGGAGAAAGTTGAATTAGTTTAACTGAGAGCAGGCTTTGTCTGTGGGTAAGCATGCACGGGGATAAATAGAGCCACACTTTATACTGTCTCACAACTGTGTCCAAAAGAACTCTATATCTGTAACAACTGCAATACTAACATCTCAAACTTAGGGCAGTATTTATTAAGGGTTTGTATTTGTGAGCAAAAGGGATTAGCACCCATTGACATAAAACAAAAAAAAAATCTGATTTATCATCCTCCATATAGAACGAAACCACTATCATTTTACTTTGCACACAATTTAGCCCCGGGGTTGATTATTATACCTGCAAAATACATATACTGCCAAAATAATTCAACAAACTCAAATTTATGAATATACATGCTTACTCACAATAGTCAAACATGCAAACCAGACCATAAAGAAAGTCCAGTGCTGTCCATCTCGTGTCCCTAAATTCATTCACAATTTTGTGTCTAATCCAAAAGACATGTGCGGCTCCAACAATGACTCATCCTGCCGCTATTACCAAACACTCTCCTGGTTTAACACACGCGCACAGCTGCACACACTGTCTATTTACCCATGGACTCGAGGCAGACTCACCTCAGCAGAGTGACCCCCTTTTCAGCCCCAAATAAAAGCACATGTCAACGTCTAAATCTTTTCCTTCAAGTTCTGAAAGTCGACTAATGTCAATTTCTCCATTGTGAGATCAATAAAGTCTATCTTATCTTAATCACTTTGCATCATGACAAAAAGAATGAATGGAAATTCTTGCAGTTGCAGCCAGCTTTATGTTCTGGTGCCGTCACTTATTGTTGATTTGATTGAGAGGATTAGAAAAGCCTTCCCTAATACAAGCACTTCCCCTTGACACGGTGCAGAGCTGCTTCACTTTGACAATGACTCATTACCGGTACTTCAATGTTAGAAGAACATGCTTTGCTTAGTTTAGCCTTATTCCCACACAATGGAGTAGTATTGTGTAGAATAGAGTTACTAGTATAGAGTGACACTAAAACAATGCTTTGAAAAGACATTCAAGAAAATGGTTACTTAAAAAAAGTCTTTGACAGCGTAGTTTGTCACTTGCAATGAAAAATCCCATGTTGCACAGATTCAAGATCTCCGTAATATTGCCTTTTTAAATGTTGTTGTTATCAATGTTTTATTTTGCTATTTATTTTTAGACAAAAAAATCCTACCTGTTAATTTAGTCTTGTTGTAAATATCATTAAAGAAACATTAATGTGACATTTGTGTTGTTTTTGCAATGTATGCTTCTTATTTTGTTTTTACTATGACTTTATTCGTCAGAACTTTGCAGCTCAAGGACTTCCTTTAGTTTCTCATTATTCGCACCTTCTATCTCATCCCTAAATACATGTTTCGAATAAAACGTTATCCCGGTTTGGAACATCTGTTTATCATTGTGATAAATGAGCTGTCGGTCACGTGTTTGGGAGACGAGTCACACATTTTACTGAAGCAACTTTAGGAAAATGAACTGAATGGTTTTTCAGACCAGCAAGAATTATTTTTTGCAGAACTCTGAAAATTAGAATAATATTATTTTATTTATTATTTATCAATCTTTATTAAGGACACAATACGGTCCATAGTTAAAAGGAAATATCCAATAAACACAGTATATTGTATATTTGAAAAAAAATGTATCAACATATCAATCAAAAGTCTATTTACTTTTGTAATTCAACTTAAAACGTTAAACTAATTGATGACAGACTCATACACACAACGTGAGAGATATCAAGCCTTTATTCATTATAAAGTTGATAATTATGGCTCACAGTAAAACCCAAACAAAAACATCTCAGAAAACTAAAATATTATAAAAAACGATTGTATTTTTGATGATAATGGCTCAAAAACACACATATGATGAGTCTATATCTTGTATTGGTTTCTGTTGAATTACAGAAATAAGTGAACCATTAAATGCTATTCTTATTTTCTGAGATTCACATTTATAAACTCAACTACACATCACACTCCCTTAAACACAGTCAGATTTTTTCATATTGAAACATGTTTTATATAATCTATGATCATCTTTAAAAATTTGATCATAACATATAATTTTCCATAAGATCGTTTTTTATTTCTGACAGCTAAAGTTCAATTGAACCTTTTATTGAACTCCACAGTACATAAGATACATAATTCAATATTAATACAATGGAATCAATGAAACATACTCTAACTTTACATAATACATAATATGCTTCATAATTTGACACACCTTACCTGATCATCCTTTCCAAACCCTTTCCTTTTCTAATCTAATCTTCAATTATGTCTATCTGATTAATTATAGTGTTCATTTAAATTGCTTTATTTGCATTAACAAAATATGATTGTTTTTTACATTTAAAAAAAGACACAAGACCATAGCATTGTTTATTTTTCACACAACATTAAGAGCAAAGACAGAACGCAAATATCATGAACTAATGGAAACTTCAAAAACACTAAATAGCAACAAATGGACTGTGTGTGATTAATTAGTACTCCATTAAAGAAATTTATGGCTGTTTGCGTCTAAGTAAAACATACCATTTCCTGTTGGGAGTGGGATTCCCAAGCTGCGGGTGCGGGGTGGGGGGTGGGGGGGTGCAGTGTGGACCAATCAGAATCTAAATGAGAGCCACATGCCACATTTGACATCCTGACTCTGGGCAGCTCTGTCGCCCTGGGGTCAGTCCTGGTTGTGGCTGGCACATGTGTTTCTTGATACCGCCCATCTGCCACTGTGGTCCCCCCCAAAAGCATGGATCTGGTCATGGCTTTGGTCCTAATCTGAGACAGAAGATAGTATTTCATTTGAGCCTTTCAGAGAAGGCAAAGTTGGTGAGGGCTGTGTAAAAAGTCAAGTCTAAGGCAAACAATTGGGGATTAGGAAGAGGACAAGATGGTGAGGGATATTATGTGATCTCAGCTTCAAACAGGCTTTGGTCCAATGAACAACATTCATCGTGTATGGAGAACAAAGAGGGAAAAGATCTGAGGCCCTCTGATTTGAAAACAGACAGAGACATGGTGACACGTTTGGACCCCTTTTGATTCTTCATCATTATGTATGATTCAAATTTGAGTTATTGCTATAGAACATTGCAATAAACAAAATATTACTACTTTGACAATAAGTATGAAAGAATCCCAAGAAACATTACCTTTAATTATGGGCTATTATGACCTGCTTTAAAGAATAATGAAAGAATAACAATATGGCAATTCTCCCAACTCTCACAACATACAAAGATAATATATTGTTATCATTCATTGGAAAATAAGCCTCTGCGCAAAAAGTGATGAAATATGAGCTATATATGTTTAAATCAAGTGGTCTTTTTTTATCCTAAATTGAGTAAATTCTGACTGTTTTAAAACAAGAATGCCAATTTATTTTCAATCCAAGAACTGTTTGCCCTTTTTTCTCATTCCAAGGGAGACATTTCTTGTATATTTTAAGAGAATGTTGCTTGTCCCATTGGCCAATCTTGTTTTAAGGCAGTCAAAATGTGCTTAAATTTGATACATTTTTTACTTGTTTTTT